GTGTGTGTCTGTGAGTGTGTGTGTGTGTGTCTGTGAGTGTGTGTGTGTGTCTGTGAGTGTGTGTTACCTGAGGCGTCTGCGCGGGGCGATCTGCTGGTCCAGGTCTCTCTGCTCTCTCTCTTCTCTCGTCATTCCCTTGTAGTTGGACGATAAACCGAAGATGGGCCGTGACCACTCGTCTGCACACACACACAAAACCAGGGCTTGAAAACGAAAAACAATCCAATCGGTTCACTCCAAGCAGAATCGATATTTTAACGTTTCGGTTCCTGCGTTCCTCTGTATTATTATCGTTCCGAAACCGGTTTGCCTAGAAAAACACCGGTTAATAACGTTACTTTTAAAACTTTTTCTTTGCCTATAATAATAATAATAATAATAATAACAACAACAACAACAGCCTAATAATAATAATAAAGTACAGCATTTTCTACTCAAAAAAGAAAAAAAAATCTGGTATCTTAACCTGCTTTCTAGATTTTGGCCAAATTATAGGCTACTAAACAAAAGAAAAAAATCTGTTAAAGCTTTAAAGACATTAAAGTATTTTTTTAAGATATTTAAAAATGTTTGCTGCATTGTTAAAAAAATGCTACTCATATAAAATTGCGTTTTGAGAGAGAGAAAAAAAAACCGTTGCATTTTATTATTAGGCTACATTCAGAAATAATGTGCTAAAATTCCGGTAAAGCAAAATGTTTACAAACATTATAAACACCATATACAGTGGGTACGGAAAGTATTCAGACCCCCTTAAATTTTTCACTCTTTGTTATATTGCAGTCATTTGCTAAAATCAATCAAGTTAATTTTTTTTCCTCATTAATGTACACACAGCACCCCATATTGACAGAAAAACACAGAATTGTTGACATCTTTGCAGATTTATTAAAAAAGAAAAACTGAAACATCACATGGTCCTAAGTATTCAGACCCCTTGCTCAGTATTTAGTAGAAGCACCCTTTTGATCTAATACAGCCATGAGTCTTTTTGAAACAATATTAGTAATTATAATAATACTAATAATAAGGCAATACTAATTAGTAAAAATAAAAGTAAAAATAATAATCCAAATGTAATACACAATCACGGAATGTAAATGTAAAAAACGAATTAAAAATAAATAAATAAATAAAAATCTAAATAATAAACTATTTAAAATAGTAAATAAATAAATAAAACTACATTCCCTTGCTCAATAATAATAATAATAAAAAATATAAAAACATACATAAAAAATACAAATCTAAATAATAATAAACCATTCAAAGTCGTAAAAAATAAATAAATAAAACTACATCCCCAAGCTCAATACACAAACACAGAATGTAATAAAAATCATGTAAAAAAATTTTTTTATTAAAAATATACAATAAATAAAGTAAAATAAAAATATAGCCCCTAAAAATATATATACACAACCATAGAATGTAATACAAACATAAAAAAACTAAAAACATTTAGGCCTAAATAAAAAAGTTGAATAATAATACTGGAAAAATAATAAAAGTAGAAGTAGAAGATTACAATATATCTCTACCTCAACAGACAATCATAGAATGCAATAATACAAATATATTTGTAAACATTCTTTAAGAAGCTGCAGACTCACTTCCTGCAGGATCTTGAGGAGCTCCTCTCGTATCTTGAGTGCTGGGAGACTCTTATCTGGGAGAGGACTGATCCATTCCTTTATAGCCAGCATCACACCGCTGTCTATGAACGTGTCCTTCAGATCCTGCCTGCACACACACATTTAAACCAATCGAAATTCAGTTTGCTTTTGTCCTGAAACTACAGCGAGGTGAACACACTTGTGCTGCTCCTTCCACAGGAAGAGGAAACACTCACTTCTTTAAATGCATCACCACTGTGGGCAGCAGCATGAGCTTCTTCAGAGCCGGTTTCTTCTGACTGTTCAGAGTCCGGTCCTCCTGAAACACACACACAGACACACACAGACACACACAAACAGACACACAAATACAAACACACACACACACACACACAAACACACAGACACACACACACAAACACACAGACAGACAGACACACAAATACAAACACACACACACACACACAAACACACACACACACACATTAAATGTTTTTGAAAGATGTGGATTCCCCCTTTTTTTTTTTTAAATGATCAGGCTTTTTCTGATGGTTAAATTAAAATTGTAGTAGAAAGCATCACAACTCAATTTACAAATTTTTTTTTTTTTTATTAACTTTTAGGGCCTGTTTTTCCCCTAAATCCCATTTTCTTTTTCTCAATTTTATCAATTTGATCCATTTAAATATTTCTAGACTCTACTAAGACTTTACTAAGGGTTAAATAAAATGTACTCCACGTTTTCCACATCACAGAAATTATACTTCTGCTCATCAAGCCTGCATTAATTTGATCAAAAATACAGTAAAAACAGTGAAATATTTTTACAACTTAAAATAACTTTTCTATGTGAAAATATTGTAAAATGTAATTTATTTCTGTGATCAAATCTGTATTTTCAGCATCATTACTCCAGTCTTCAGTGTCACATGATCTTCAGAAATCATTCTAATATGCTGATTTGCTGCTCAAGAAACATATCTGATTATCATCAATGTTGAAGCAGTTCAATATTTTTGTGGACACTGTGATTCATTTTATTTTTCAGGATTCTCTGATGAATAGAAAGTTCAAAAGAACAGCTTTTATTTTAAATCGAAATCTTTTGTAACATTATAAATGTCTTTACTGTCACTTCTGATCAGTTTAATGCGTCCTTGATGAATAAAAGCATTCATTTCTGCCCCTAAACTTTTGAACGGTAGTGTAACCAAGCTCCACATAAATCAGCAGCATGTCACAGACGCTGTAGACGTTCAGCTATATATAACCCAGACTCTCTAACACACACACACACCTCTGCAGCTTCTGTCATTTTGGTGATCATGGCGCTCACAACATCATCGGCGTCACTGATGAACGTCCCTCCGTCTCGATTGCGTCTGCGTTTGCCGCTCTGAGCTTTCTTACGGGCCAACATGAGCTCAAAGTCTGACATGAAGGACATGCTGAAACACACACACACACACACACACACGATTATCATGTGCATGTGAAAAGACTAGGGTTGTAACGATTCACTCAACTCACGATTCGATTCACGATTTTGATTTCACGATTCGATTTTCTCACGATTTTTTTTTTACAAAATGAGATTGAAGACATTATACAGTAAATGAGAAGGTGTCCTTTTATTAAGCTATTGCTAAACTTTTCTTTGTAAAATTTAAATAACAAAACTAAACTGAAATTTTAAAACATAAGCAATTTACACAAATAAAACATCTTGGCAGTGCGTCGCCGCGCGTCACTCCCGGATAATCGAAAATGGGCAAAGAGGCGGGAGCAGGTTGCTGAGGCCACGCCCACCTAGCTCTATGGTGGTGACAGCAGCGGCAATCCACCTGTCACTCAAGTGGCCACGCCCTTAATTATGCAGAACTTTAAGGCTTAATATAATTTAAACGGATGAGTTATAAAAAAAAATTCACCCCCCTCACAGTTCTCATGAAGGGCAAAATTAGCTATATAGACCAAAATCATTTTTTGTACCAGGCTGTAAACACATTTTTTTCTGCTGTAAAGTTGGGCACTTTAACATGGGGAGTCTATGGGACTGACTCCCTTTGGAGCCAGCCTCTAGCGGCCAGTCGATGAATTACAGTTTTAGTCACTTCCGTGTTGGTTTCACGAGAGAGAGCGGGAGGTTGCCGCTTGCAATGATGTAGTGTTTCCTGGGTTACCACAGTAAACAAAGCAGAGCTGCGCTTATCAGTGTTGTCAAGTCCGCGGTTTTCCCGCAGAATTGGGCTACTTTTACACTGTTGCCGCAAGATGTTTTTCCATGTCCGCGGGTTGAAGCGACCCCAATAACGTGATATTTAGCCCCTGGAATGCGACTTTTACCAGGGGAACCCCACCAAAAAAAATTGTATTTTACCACCCACCACCCAAACGCGATTTTGACCGGGGGATCACCCCTGAAAAGCGACTGGGCTAGTTTCGAGTAGCAATTGGGCGGGTTTTGCTGTGAAAACCTGGCAACCCTGGCGCTTATGAACTATACTTTAATATGCATCGTTCAGAGGCAAGATGAAAAGAAAATACCACGTAAACTTTTTTAAAGACAGTCAGTTCCCCTCAGAGATACATTTATATAAACTCCTACTACAATTGTATCGGAATTTGTTTGGCGTCTCAACCGATTTGAATCGTCACATATTTGAATCGATTTTCAACCGGCTCGCGGTTCATCGTTACATCCCTAGAAAAGACACAGAGCTTTATAGCAGCAGGAGTCTCTTAATTGACTTCCTGTTTGCTGTGAGTATGGTATTACTCTTTTCCTCCTCTGTCCACATCTTCATCTGAATCAGAGTCGTTCTCCAGTCCCTTGTGTCCCAGCGCCTGAGACTGCGGCCGCTCGGCCTCCAGCTCCTCTTGATTGAAGCCCTGAGCACACACACACACACAGGGTCAAAGGCCAAGACAAAGTGATGTGCATTGTGGGAATGATTCATTTTATCAAATCAGTTTGTTCGGACTGTTTGTTTCAAAGAATCAGTTCAACAAAAACAATTCACCCATAAATCACTCAGCAGTAAAACGGTTTTGATCAAAAATAATTAATAATGAATTATCAATCAAGGTAATTATTCATATGCAAGTCTGACATCAACGATGGTAATGCATTTCGAAAATGTATTTGAATAATAATTTCTGAATCTTCATTTTCGTCATTTTACTGTGTAAAACTGTACTGTGCAATATAATTAAAAGAAATTGTACTATATTTTTTATATTTTAATTACAGGATTAATAATAATTATAATAATTACTGTAATTATTACAAACAAAATCAATATTGTATAAAGGCCTTTTCACACTGAACGCGAAATTCGGCGCGAATGTTCAGCGCGATGACGCTTTTAAATCGAAACCATAGCTATTCACATCAGGCGATCATTCGCGGCGCGAAAAAGCGAGGATTTTTTTTGTCCTGTGTGTCAATTTTTCCCCCGGAAACGGGCCGTCCAATCAGATTTGAGCTAAGATCACGTGCCCAGAGCAGCTGCGGTTGTACAAAAAGGCTAGAGTGGTGGCGCTGTTTCGAAAACCAGTGCAAACAAACAAACACCGAAGAAGAGTATCCTGCAAGAGAGAAGAGAGTGGATGCTGAGTTCTTGTTTGTATCCGAGGACAGATTTAATCTCACGTTCTTAATATAATTTCTATTAATTCTCCACTGAATCATGTGATCTGGAGAGCACCGTCCGTTTTCGACCACGTGAGCGAGTGTTATACGAGTCTCAGCGTGTTCACTCTCTTGATCTCCCGAATTAAAATATACCGTAAAACAAAATCGAGTGAAATGTTTTTCTACACATGAAATATGAAAGCAAATAGACATGATTACGACGATATATTTTCTGCATGTGTTTTGTATGCAGCTCACGGTATTTTTATAGCAATAAAGGATGTTTATGACAAATATTAGCAGTGTAACATTATTAAACATACAAAGAGTGCATGTGTCTGCTTATTATGGAATCAAAATCAACTATAGATCACAATTGCATTTTCAAGTGTAGTTTGATGCTAATTGTACTTCTAATTATATTTTAGGATGCATTCTTCTAAGCATTATAGATAGTTTGTGTGTCTGGTGTAGAACCAAACTTTGTTTATCTTAATTTAATGCTGTATATTGAGCAGCGGACGATGTTAAATCCATATATGAGATACACATCTGAGGAAAAATGCATTGTTGGTTAGCGCCACCTAGCGTGCAGTTGTGAATTAGCAGAAGGCGAAAAATCATTTCGAGCTCAGTGTAAAAGCACCGTTCGTTGTTGACAATCTATTAGTGAGAGTTTTGTTGTGAATTCTCAGTCAGACAAATAGACAGATAAGCAGACAGACAAGCAGACAGACAGACAGATAAGCAGACAGACAGATAGACAAGCAGACAGACAGATAGACAAGCAGACAGATAAGCAGACAGACAGATAGATAGACAGACAGACAAGCAGATAGATAAACAGACAACAGATAGATAGATGGATAGACAGACAGACAGACAACAGATAGATAGACAGACAGACAACAGATAGATAGATAGATAGATAGACAGACAGACAGATGAAAGACAGACAACAGATAGATAGATCGATAGATAGACAGACAGACAGACAGACAGA